TTCTTGTAGCACTTATTCAGCATTTATGCCTGTGTCACCATTTGTGGTCATTTCAGATTCCCTTAGTGCTTTACAGGCTATAAGAAAATTTGATACACCTCACCCTGTAGTTCTTTGTCTCCAACTTTGGCTATACCATATCTCTAGCAAACACAAAGATATTGCTTTTTGCTGGGTCCCTGGTCGTGTTGACGTACAGGGCATTGAACAGGCAGACACTGCTGCGTGGTCACCAGTTTCATATAGAGGTGTTCCATTCACAGACTATTTTGCTGAAATTGCTATGCACTTTCGCACCCGTTGGCAACAACATTGGTCTGATCTGCTCCATAACAAACTTCATTCTATTAAACCGAGTATAGGTTTTTGACCGTCTTCTTGTCATCAACGTCAGGGTTGGGAGACTACTCTCTCCTGTCTTCACACTGGCCACACTTGTCTTACTCACAGGCCTACTGGCCCATGCAAGGCAGGCCCAAGTCTCCTACCGGCTTAAGCCAATGCCCCAACCTAGTCAGGTCACAATCACTTAAGGAAGGAACACGGCAAATGACCTAGTAGGACAAGCTAATCAGGTCCAACTCACACCCACCCACATCCACTCATGTATTTATCTAACCTATTTTAAAACTACACTACATTTTAGCCTCTATAACTGTACTTGGGAGTTTGTTCCACTCATCCACAACTCTATTACCAAACCAGTGCTTTCCTATATCCTTCCTGAATCAGAAATTTTTCCAACTTTAAACCATTGCTGCTAGTCCTGTCTAGGCTAGATATTTTCAGCGTGTTATTTACATCCCCTTTATCTATTCCTGTCTTCCATTTATACACCTTAATCATATCCCCCCTAATTCTACGCCTTTCTAGAGTGTGCAGATTCAGGGCCCTCAATCTATCCTCATAGGGAAGATTTCTGATACATGGGATCAACTTTGTCATCCTCCTTTGCACATTCTCCAGACCATTTGCATCCATTCTGTAATACGGTGACCAAAACTGTGCAGCATAATCTAATTATTATTATAATCAAGGGGGAAGCGCTAAACCCGGAGGATTATACAGCGCCTGGGGGGGGGGGGATGTGGAAGGCATTCAGGCTTAATTCGGGGAACTGGAGCACAGATCCAATTCCCTAAATCAAAGCATAATCTAAATGAGGCCTAACCAAGGATATATAGAGTTGAAGAACAACCTGAGGACTCCTATTATTTATGCCTCTTGATATGAAACCAAGGATTCTGTTAGCTTTATTTTGAACACTTATGCACTGTTGTCTTGGTTTCAGATTACTGCTAACCTGAACTCTTAAATCTTTTTCGCAATCTGTATATTAAGATCTACGTTAGTTTATATGTGGCATGGTTATTTTCCTGTCCAACATTTAGAACTTTGCATTTGTCTATATGAAACTGCATCTGCCACTTCTCTGACCACTGCATCAGTCTATTCAAATCTTCCTGGAGTGCTCTAATGTCCTTGTCAGAATGAATTCGACAGCCTATTTTGATGTCATCGGTAAACTTGCTTATGTCGCTCTTTATGCCCTCATCAGTGTCGTTTATGTAGATTGTGAACAACAGGGTGCCCAACACTGACCCCTGTGGAACACCGCTCATGACACTTCCCCACTCTGATTTCTCCCCATTTATGCAAGCTCTCTGCTGCCTATTTGCCAACCATGCCTCTATCCAGGAAAAAATTTCTCCTATTCCATGTGCCTTAATTTTCCTCAATAGTCTCTGATGTGGGACCCTGTCAAAAGCCTTACTGAAGTCCATACACACAATATCATATTCATTACCATGATCTACCTCCTCAAATACCTTAATGAATAATTATAATAAAAAAGAAGCACTAAGCCACAAGGGCTATACAGCATACCTTAATGAAAAAAGTTAATAAATTCGTAAGACAGGAACGCTCCTTTGTAAAACCATGCTGAGATTCGTTGATTAATTTATGCTTTTCAAGGTGGCTACAAACTGCCTCGGCAATTGATTCCATAAATTTTCCCACTATGGGGGTTAGGCTTATTGGTCTATAGCTCGAAGCTAAGGACCTGTCACCTGCTTTGAAAATAGGTATCACATTTGCCATTTTCCACTTATCTGGCACAATGCCAGTTTGTAGTGATATGTTGAAAAGATTAGCCAAAGGTTTGCTAAGCTCCTCTTTACATTCCTTTAGAACCCTTGCGTACAGTTCATCAGGGCCTGGGGATTTGTTAGGTTTTAATTTCTCTGTTTGCCTAAAGACCATGTCACCTGTGACCCTAATCGTGCATAGTTTATCGTCCTGTTCTACATAATTTATTATTTCTGGAATATCGCTAGTATCTTCCTGTGCAAAAACTGAGAGGAAGTATGTGTCAAAAATTCTACACATTTCCTTATCACTGTCTGTGAGCTGACCCGAGTAACTTTTGAGTGGGCCTATCTCGTCCCTGATCTTACTTCTGTATACCTGAAAGAATCCTTTTGGATTAGTCTTTGATTTTCTTGCAACTTTAACCTCAATCTTTTTGCTTTTCTTATTCCCTTTTTTATTTATCTCTTTAATTGAATATACTGATTTCTTAATTGCCCCTCTCCTCTTTTGATTTGCCTATACGTATATGCCTCTCTTTTGACCAATGAGATGTTTTAATCTATTGTTCATCCATTTAGGATCATTTTTGTTTGATCTGATTTCCCTATTTGGAACATAAGTTGTCTGAGCAGCTAGAACTATGCCCTGGAAAACGTCATATCGGCAATCACCACCACCTACCTGACCCATAGTCAGGTCATTCCAGTTCAGCCTACCCAAGTAATTTTTCAGTCCTATGAAATCAGCCAAGTGGAATTCAGGGACAGAGACTTGATTGCCATTATTAGGGGAATTCCATGATATATTAAAACTGAGTGATTTGTGATCACTTTCCTCAAGCTCATCATTAACCTCAAGATTATTAATTAGCATTTCCCTGCTGGCAAGAACAAAGTCAAGCAGGTTATTTCCTCTAGTTGGTTCTGTCACAAACTGTTTTAAAAAACAATCCTGAATCATATCAAGAAAGTCACTTGACTAAATTTCCTGTCAAATTGCTCCAGTCAATCTGTCTACAGTTGAAATCTCCCATTAGCACAACATTTTCGTATGTAGATGCCTTACGAATTTCGTCCCACATTATTATAATAAAAAAGAAGCGCTAAACCACAAGGGCCATACAGCGTTTTCGTCCCATAGAAGTTTACTGCACTCCCTATCAAGATTTGGGGCCCTGTAAATCACACCCACGGCCCTCGAGAAGCTGTATCCAAACAGATTTAGTGGCTGATGCTTCTAATTTTATATCTTGTCTAATACAACAATTTAAACTGTCTTTGACATATATCACTACTCCACCACCCTTCCTGTTGACCCTGTCAGTGTGGAATAATTTATAGCCTTGTATGTGACATTCAGAAGGCATCTATCCTTCAGATTGAGCCAGGTCTCTCTTATAGCAATAATATCTATGTTTCCTGCACTTGCAATTAATCTTAGCTTATCTATATGACTCATGTTATCACTTTCCTGGATGACAGAGTCTTGATGAGAAACTTCTCACTTGTTACCATATTTATGGCTCCAGCATCTGTATGAAAGGAGCCTCCCCCCCCCCAACCAATGCAAAAGGGCCAAAGATTGGTTTAGCCAGCATGAAATCCCTGTTTTAGAGTGGCCAGATAACAGCCTGATCTCAATTTGACATAGAAAATGCTTGGCAGGTGTTGAAATCCAAGGTAACATTATTATTATTATAATCAAAAAGAAGTGCTAAGCCACAAGGGCTATACAGCTCCAAGGTAACAAAGAACCAAAAATCTACCATCATCAAGCTGGTGAAGTTCCTGAAAAAGGTATGGATTAATATACTGTAGATCTGACATACCGTATTTCAAGACACACAGTGATTCAGTGCCATAAAGCAAAAAGTAATGAAATCAAAAGGTCAAATAACTATCTATTTTTTTTTTGGAACTTTTAAAGTAACATATCAAAGATCACTAAATTTTTTTACTTTATTCACTTTTTTTTTTTTTTTAAAACATCAAAGATTTTTCTTCCAGAGATTATTTTTTATAGTTATGAAAATGAGCACTAACCCCAAAAGTGTTCTACAGCACTAAACTTATATATACTATGACTTCCATAAAGTGAAATACTAATAATTTACGACATGTGGTAATGAAAAAAAGGCATAACAGAAACACTAAGGAGTTGACAGGAACAGAACTTCACAAAATCCAAAAGGACTCATATTTTTTAAAAAACAGGTTTAAAAACTATTTGGCCATTATATACTGTACATATCTGCTGAGTCGTCCTCAAAAACGTTGGAGGGAGGGGGTAAAGGAGGTTTTGTGGGTGAGGGGCTTGAACTTCAGGCAAGCGTGTGTGAGCACGTTAGGAGTGAATGGAGACGGATGGTTTTTGGGACCTGGCGAGCTGTTGGAGCGTGAGCAGGGTAATATTTTGTGAAGGGATTCAGGGAAACCGGTTAGCCGGACTCGAGTCCTGGAAATGGGAAGTACAGTGCCTGCACTTTAACCCTTAAATGGTCCAAACGTATATATACGTATTTTCAACATTTGAAAGTATGTAAAAAAAATTTACATCGTCTTTTTTTTTTACATTTGAAAATGTGTAAAAAAACTTTTATCTACATTTTTTTTTTGTTATATTTGAAAATATGTAAAAAAACATAGATCTACTTTTGGAGCACTACGGATTTGAACATCGATCTATTTGGACCGTTTAAGGGTTAAAGGAGGGGTCTGGGATATTGGCAGTTTGGAGGGAAATCTAAATTGTCGTATCTGAGCACCTCTGCAAAGACAGTGATTATGTATGAGTGATGGTGAAAGTGTTAAATGATGAAAGTTATTTCTTTCTTTTTGGGTCACCCTGCCTCGGTGGGAAACGGGCGATGTATTAAAAAAAACCTACTAGGTTACATAAAATCAATAAAACTTTAAGAAAAAATATATTTTCTTCAGTGCATCCCAAATACAATTACCAGAATTAAATTAAGACAATGACACTATATAACAGAAATGTGCTGAATTATCATTACCAATGATCACTTAGATTTTACCAAAATCAAGCACTGCAATAATTATTAGTGATGCATGTAATGCTTTTAGATATTTTAGTACGGTATATACCTTACATGACTATACAAACTGAATACAGTACTTTACTTGTCAAATGTTCTGAGCAACATCTTAATTAGGTAAATGAACTATGAGAACAATGCTCATATAATTAAATTTCTGCATTTAAAAAAATACCAGATCACATCCGAGATACGCAGACAATGGGAAGAGCTGACAAGTGGGAATGAAGACACTTAAGAGTACCAATGTGTTTATCTCTGGATCAGGGTTTTTGAAAAGGGAAAGAGGGCCTATGTTGATACAACAGACTGTGTATAGCCCTTTTATGTACCCAATGTCAGGCTTAATCTTTATAAAAATTCATGTACATAAAAGGGCCCAAAATCTGGAACTCCCTACTGGAAATCTCCAGAGCCACTCTTTCAGCCAGCATCTTCAAAACTACCATTAAAAAACACATTCTCTCCCTAACATATCCCAACATCAGCTAAATACATATGTGAAAACTATATATCTGTATTCTCATTGTCACAAACATATGGAAAACTATATAATCTTATTCTCAATATCTGTAATCCTCACAACCATTAAAGCATTGAATGTGTCGACATTATGTTAATATGCTAGAATCCTCATTACCTGTAATCATAATCAAAGCTGTAATTCTTAAAACAATTAAACTTGATAAGAGCCATAGAGAATGTATTTATAGGATATTCAATTCTCTTGTATTCATTGTAACTCCTAAATTTATTTTTATAACCACCTAAGAGACTGTAAATAAAGCACTCAATTTTAGTCACTGATTTATTAATCTTAAGATAGTCTTAAGTTTGACTGAAATGCTCTGCATATTAACCCCATGACTGTCGCAACCCCCAATCCTGAGGTGTCTCCTGGCGTCGCAAAATTTAAAAAAAAAAAAAAAAAATTATTTTTTGTTATGAAATGATAGAGAATCTTTCCTGATTGTAATGACACCAAAAAAACGAAATTTGATGGAAAACTGACGGAATTATGCTCTCGCGAAGTTAGCGACCTCGGCGATATTTACAAATCGGCAATTTCGCCCACTTTGAGCCCTATTTTCACCTAATTCCGTTGTTCCAGTCGACCAAACTCATTGCTATTTCTTTAGAACTCCATTTTTTCTATCGATTGAGTACAAGAAACTGCCCATTTACCGATTTCAACTACCCAACAATGTGGTCAGAAATTTGCAATTTGGCCAATTTCACGAAAATTAAAAAATATGACAATTTCAAAATAAGGTCCAGAATGAACAATGCAGACATTCCTGGCTCTAAAATAACATTTTCTTTGTTCATCAGTCATGTCTCCAGGCCCCTCTGATATTACTCTTGCTTTCTATTTTGAATTTTTATTCAAACAAAAAATAGAAGACTTACTATTATGCAGACTACTGCAGTACTGTAATAATTGTATAAATAACATCAACCCATTCATGACTGCATATTAGAATGGCTAGTTGGACATTTATTGGACAATGACATCATTTGTTTACTTTTGAACATTGGCAAAAATCAAACATTTCCCCTACTTTGAACTCCATTTCCAGGTTCTTTTTATAGTAAAATCAATCAAAATCACCTCTATTTCTATAATATGTTTTCCATTCTATCAAATGAGACCAAGAAAACGAAAATACAACTATAAATACTATACGAAAATAGACCACAAAGTCGGTATTTTAATTAAAAAAAATGGTCGGAGTTTTTTTTCTCATTATGCACTGCGTGCTCCAGGATTTTTTTTTATATGGTGCACACTGACCACACAGACCCATTCTCTCACATGTGGGCCTACCAGCTTTCTCCTGCTTGGTTTGAAGCCGCTAGAATTTATGAGTATATATACATCAAACACGGTACCTCGTAAGACGTATATATACGGCCGCGACAGTCAAAGAGTTAAAGAGGCTTTCTGCATGTACACCTAAATATCATTAACCTCTGTACAAACATTGTATCATGCTAAAATAAAGAATCTTAAAACCAGTCCAATATAAACACTGTAGACATTCCAGGCACTAAAACATTTACTCTGTGCAATAATTGCATCCCCAAGCCTCTCATATATTACATCTGCCTTCCATTTTGAATACACCACACAAAACATCGAAGATTTCTCTATTAAAATATAACCAGGAATAATTTGTTATGGTTTACAGCATCCCAATATTTGAATCAGACCTAGTAAAAACCCATACAACAGACCATGGATGTAAGGAAGGCCTTAGCCATCATTAGGAATATCAGCAAAAATCAAATAGTTCCACTACTTTGAGGCTGATTACAATCTTGGAACCTGCTAAAATCATCTCTTAATTCATTAGAATGTCTTCCATTCTATCAGATGATACCAAGAACCTGCCAATAAAACCATAAAAAGCATCCTAAAAAAAGCCCTCAAATTTGCTATTTTAAACCAAACATAAGGTCAGAGTTTTACTTTTCCCATCATGCACCACATGAGGCAGGTTTTTTTTTTTTTTTTTACTCTGCACATTCACAATAGACCCCTTCTCTCATATCTTTGTCAAAATTTACTGCTCACAGCCTATCTGAATGATGTAGATCTGCATGACGGACCTTGGCGTTAACAACGTAGTTCTTTTTAACAGATAGCCAAAGGGTTAAGACTTAGAATGAAGGAGTATTGTATTAATGAATGGAGTGTATACAGTATTGAGAAAAAAATTGGGAAAAACTATTGTCCAATAGTCTAATTGTCCAATATGTCATTTGAAATCTCTCTTCATACTCAATGTAAATTCCTTTTCAACAGCAAGCAAACTCTTAATACCTATATATCTTTATCCCAATTACCTTATAATAACTGGAACTGAATTATTCACACTTTACTATCACACAATGCCTAAATTTATATGCTATGACTAGAATTAAGTTCTGTAGTTTGTAAGTTTTAAGATTAGTTTGAAATGCTGTAAAAAAAAAATATGGCTTTCTTTTGAACATACAGTTTTATTGAATTTAATCAACTTGTATTTGTAACATAGCTGTATCAAAACTGTAACTAAATGAATTGTAACTTTTATGTAAAGTATATTTCAAAAGAAATGCAAATTTTTATTGTCAATAAATAAATATACTGAAACTTTACCCACTGCAACCTAGTTTCTAAATCAGCAGCAACAATTATTACTATTATGCTAGGTGTTTTTCCTTGGATCAAGAACCTCTCACTGGCATCAAGGCACTTCCCTTGAGAGGAGTATAATACAGTATATTAATCTTGATAGTCAGATGATATGTCCACTTCCTCTTTAACAATCATGTGAAGGTCTGTGTTTTCTTTTTTGACAAAATTTTGTGAAAAATTTGATTCAAAGCTTTTTAGATTTAAATATTCCTGATTTTTCTCATAATTTTCTAGCAAAGTACCTTCATATTCATTTGTACCTTTAGATTTGCAGAGTGCAGGGAGCACAGACTTTGATAAAGAAGGCTCAAAAGCTTCAATTTGTGAAGGTTTGTCTGGTTGTGCATCAATATTACATTCCACATATTCAAATGGTGAAAGAATAGGAAAGTGTTTATGGGTTTCATGAGAGAGTAATTTATAATACTTTGACTTTTCTTTCATGTGTAATTTTACATGAGAGTTATAATTACCTTTTGTTCCAAATCTTCGGCCACAAATCATGCACTTATAAGGCTTCTCACCTGTGTGTGTAGCCATATGACAATTAAGAATACTGGAAAATGTAAATCCTTTGCCACACACCAGACACTTATATGGTGCTTCTTCCAAGTGCTTACTCATGTGTGAAATTAATGAACTTTTTTGCGAAAATACTTTTTTGCAATAGTTACACTCGAATGGCTTTTCTCCAGTATGCATTCTTATATGAGATGTAAGTGAACTTTTCTTATTAAATTCTTTATCACATTCCATACAGTGATACGGTTTTTCACCTGTGTGAATTCTTGAGTGTGAAGTCAAATTACATTTGTATAAAAATACTTTATCACACTCTTTACATGCATATTTCTTTTCCTTGGTATGTACATTCATGTGTGATGTTAGGTTACATTTTAATGAAAATTCTTTTCCACAGTATTCACATTTATATGGCCTGACTCCTGAATGAAGTTTCATATGGCATTTAAGAGTGCTATTTTTTGTAAATGTTTTACTACAAAGTCTGCACTGGAAAGGTTTTTCACCAGTATGCATTCTCATATGGCTGAGAAGGCCACTAGCAAAGGAAAATCCTTTGCCACATTCTAAGCATTTATGTGGTGTGTCATCCATGTGTATGAGCATATGAGAGGTGAGAGTACTCTTTTGGAGGAAAGCTTCACCACAAACTTTACATCTGTATGGCCTTTCACCAGTATGGATTCTAATGTGAATATTTAATGTAGACTTAGACGAAAAATGTCTACTGCAAAATTTACACTGATACGGTTTCTCACCAGTATGTACTCTAGTGTGTGAAATTAAATTGTGCTTATTAAAGAAACTTTTGCCACAGACACTACAGTGGTGACTTTTTTCACTAGAATGACGAGTTACATGAGAATTTAGGGTACTTTTATTAGAAAACTGCCCACCACACATACTACAACTGTATGTCTTTTTTTGAGTATGAGTTCTAATATGGGAAACAAGCTTACTCTTATTAGTAAATATTTTACCACACTCATTGCATGAAAGAGAAACAGTGCTATTATTAGGCTGGCATTCATCCTTATTTTTAATGCAATATGATCTTACATGTGAAAGATAATCATGTTCACTGGCAAATTCTTTCCTACAGTTAGTACATGTGTGAGCTTTGTCTTCATGAGCTGCCATATGACATACAATTTCACTTTGGGTGAGAAAAGCTACACCACATTCAAAACAAGTGTACATTTTTTTAGTGGTTGCAGTCTTGCAGTTGTGATATCTTGCCTCCTCAGATAATTTATGTTAATTTCAATGATTCATAACATCATCAGAATTAGGCATATCTTTAATAGTTGATTCCCTTTCTTTTCCCAAAGATATCTTCCAAATCTGTAATAGAAAATTATCATTAATATCACCAAAACTTAAATTTTTTTATTTATTTATTTATTAACACATCGGCCGATTCCCACCATGGCAGGGTGGCCCGAAAAAGAAAAACTTTCATCATCATTCACTCCATCACTGTCTTGCCAGAGGGGTGCTTTAAACTACAGTTTATAAACTGCAACATTAACACCCCTCCTTCAGAGTGCAGACACTGTACTTCCCATCTCCAGGACTCAGTACAGCCTGCCGGTTTCCCTGAATCCCTTCATAAATGTTACTTTGCTCACACTCCAACAACACATCAAGTATTAAAAACCATTTGTCTCCATTCACTCCTATCAAATACGCTCACACATGCTTGCTGGAAGTCCAAGCCCCTTGCACACAAAACATCCTTTACCCACTCCCTCCAACCTTTCCTAGGATGACCCCTACCCTGCCTTCCCTCCACTACAGATTTATACACTCTCAATAGCTATTAATTGATCAATTTTCTAACTACAGTAATTAACAAAAGTAATGCAGCTCAAGGGCCTCATTAAACTTTTTAAATACTGTATCTGCAATTTTTCACCAAGAGTGACCCTAAGAAGGCATTCACTGTCACTCACTCTACCTGCCTTCTTTTTCAACAAGGGTGGATCATATCTACTTGCATGACAGCCAATAAACTTAAACTTAACACTGACAAAACCTTCTATATTATGTTTGGTAACAGAGCCGGTGTTGCATAACTGAACATTAAGATTGACAACACTCTTATTGCCAAACATAATGAGGGCAAACTCCTGGGCCTACACCTCGAAAGCAACCTGAAATTTAGCACCCATATCCAACACAAGACAAAAAAAGTATCCAAAACGGGTGGGATCCTTTCCAAGATATGTTACTACGTGCCACAATCAGCCCTTCTCACACTATACTGTTTACTCATCTATCCCCACCTCACCTATGCTATTTGTGCCTAGGGAACAACAGCAGCAACACACCTAAAGCCAATAATAACCCAACAAAAAGCTGCAGTAAGAATAATCATGCAATCCAATCCCAGGCAACACACCTCCCCACTTTTCACAGATCTAAACTTACTCATTGTACAGAACATCCACACTTACTACTCTGCAACCTACATTTACAGAACTGTAAATTCCACTATTAACCCTGATCTAAAACACTTCCTTGATAGTTGTGACAGGACACACAGGCACAACACCAGGCACAAAAATTTCTATGACATTCCCAGTGTCCGGCTAAACCTATACAAAAATTCAATGTACATAAAAGGACCCAAAATCTGGAACACCCTGCCTGAAAACTCTAGAACTGCAGACACAACCATCACTTTCAAAACTACCGTTAAAATTGTGACCGGCTAAACCTACACAAAATTTCAACGTACATAAAAGGACCGAAAATCTGGAACACCCTACCTGAAAACTCGAGAAATGAGGACACAACCATCATTTTCAAAACTACCGTTAAAAAACATCTTAACTCCCTGACACAACCAGCCGTCAGCTAACTACATGAAAACCACCTATTCTCTTACTTGTATTATACACACATAAAAAACAAACTAGACCTACTCTTGATATCCATGATTCCCCCCAATTTACACTTACATTCACCCAAATGACTGTAAACATAAAAGTATGTAATAAAGCAATTACCTAATGAATTTTAAACTAGTCATAAGTTTGCCTGAGATACTTCAATATAGGAGCTTTAACAGAAACTATATATCATGCCAAGACAAAACCATTCTCACTGCTAAATTTACAAACTGTAATGCAGTTACCTAGCCTTAATATCAATATGCTCCATAACCTGTATCAATATTGAGTTTGAATTATTATTAGTCTGCCCAAAATGCCTAATCATGCTAGGCATGATAGTGGCCCTCTCTGTAATTAGTATATTTAATATGTAAACCACACATTGTAACCAATATTTTATAATATGCAAACCCTACATTATAATCGTTCTAGAGAATAAACTTTTAATTTGATCTGAATTTAGGACTATGATTAACAGCCACATAAACCATATTTTAAAACACAAATTACTGCACGTGATATCTTAATCAGCTAAAACATACCACTTTTATATGACCTTCGCATAAATACTACTTGCAATAGCCTGACCAAAGTAAGATGGTACATACTTGGCATCATATTCATAAGTTATAACTACATATCACTTCCTTGAGGTGCTAGGGAATTATGCTTTAAAAATTACCACAACACAACAAGGTCTGAAATGGAAATAAGTCATTTTGACTTTTTGGGATTATCCTAGGTAATTTACACATATGCTGCTATGTATGATAATATATGTAACTATGTGTACCTGAACCTGAATAAAAACTTACACAGCATAGTATAATACACTGAATACATATCAAATACAGTGGCTAACAAACCACAGTGTGGGTGGGGGTTAGAACTCAAGGCTGTCTTTAAGAAGGCACTGGACAGGCACCTAAAGTCAGTACTTGACCAACTGGGCTGTGGTTCGTATGTCAGCTTGCGTGTGGCCAGCAGTAACAGCCTGGTTGATCAGACCCTGATCCACCATGAGGCCTGGTCTCAGACCAAGCCGCAGGGGCGTTGACCCCTGAAACCCTCTCCAGGTAAACTCCAGGTAAGAGAGTCATTAAACTCCAGGCCATTATATAGGCCACTGGGCCAGTTGGCTACAATAAGAGGATGGGAGTTTAGCGCTTTATTTTGATTATAATAATAGGAGGATTAGAGTTTGTCAAAATAATAAGTTATGAAAATGACAGATAATGTCATCAGAGATAGGAAACCAATGAAATATATCATAGCACAAGTATTGCCCCTGGAGGTGGTAGTATGTTGCAGTGAGGCTGGGACACCCACCTCCTTCTTCAGGATATATGCACTTTATTATTATAATCAAAAAGAAGCACCAAACCTACGTAATACAGCATATGCAGTTTGTGCCAAGGTTCCTTTACCTGATAACTGCACGAGCTGGGATGTATTATGACGCTTCTTTTGGTTGAGTGATGTCTGTCGTTACCACAGTGAACCTTCCCCAGCAGCGCCTCCTGTGTGATGCTCCTGGTTCAGTGTACACCTTGTACATGTACTGTAGAACTACCTTGTACATGTATACCTTGTACATGCACTTGTACAAATAAAGATATATTATTATTATTATTATTATTATTATTATTATTATTATTATTATTATTATTATGTCTTGTTACCACAGAGAACCTTCCCACAGCTGCGCCTCCTGTGTGATGATTGTGGTGTTCCTGCTCGCCTCCTCCGTATAGCTACATTTTGACTTATTATATTATAATGTCATCCAGAATGCCGATATGTAATGAAGCACTTATATCAAATGTAACTTACATATTATTAGTAAGTACTTGCAAAAAAATGTTTACTAACTTATGTTGGCTAAGCTTCGGAATGTGAGAGTATCAGGTAACAGTTAACATTCAGTTCAAGGATTGAAACAGGTGGTGCTATCTCAGAGATGGGATAAGAATATCTGTAAGAAATCAATATTTACCCATGTTATAGAACAGTGAAAAAGAATATCAATTTCCTATGTAACTGGCATATTAAATTTTTTATTTCGTTTATATTATGACAAACTGCACTAATGCTATTTCGTTTTTTGACATGTAAATATGATCCATGTGCAGATAAAAATTATATATATTACTTTATTTAGGTACAGGTACATAAATTTAGGTGACCACAATTATCATATATAAACATACACGAACACATGTAAATTGCCTAGGATACCCCCCCCCCCCAAAAAAAAAAAATCATGATATGACTTACATTATTTCTATTGGGGTCCTTTTATTATCTTATTAGGTTAGGTAAGGTTTGTCAGGAAACATAATAAGTGTTTCCCATACACACCCACACCCATTCACGTTCCGGTCCAAGTTCTTGTCTCAGTAATGCTACCTGAGCTGCTTCCATTCGTCTACAACTATATTGCCACACCTGGACTTCTCAGCTGTGATCCATTCCTGCAAATCTTGTCTTAGACGTTTTCTTCAAACAAGTCCTCAGCTCACACACTGGTGTCTGGGATCAATCTCTCCTGCCCTTGTTCACCTTATATTAACTCAGTACCTGGGTGTTTAGGCGAGTGTCGTGAGTTACATCCTAGTGAACAGTAACTTGCTCAGCTATCATAACTTTGGGGTCCAGTCCCTGGACCCATTATGTACCTCTGTAATCTTTTGTCTACCCCCACAGGATAGGTATGGGGTGCATAATAAACATATTAAACTAGTGGACAAGATTAACCTAAGTTGTTTGAAATGCTTTGAATAACCAGAGACTTTCTCTATAGTATGCCAATGATATTAACTAGGTCTGTGTCATGTACCTGTAGAAATGGATTATTATTATTATTATTATTATTATTATTATTATTATTATTATTTGCCGTGGAATCTGGATCGCCTGGGAATGTCCCGATCCCTCTCCGGTATCCCGGAGGGTGGCTTTGGGTATCTTTCGGGCGATGGGTGTATCTCTGGAAGCCACCTTTCGGATTCCGGGGGTGGTGGCTGAAGGAGGTATGCTTTGTGGCAGATATCCGGCCACCCTCTCTTTTGTCCACCGAGGTAGCTCGGCAGATGTGAGGTTGCTATCCCGGATTGCTGGTTTACTGGTATGAAGGGTAGGGTATGGCACAGGTTCCATGCTGCATCTGCGCTACTTGCTACTTGCGGTACTGAGGTCCTCTTGGGCGCTGAGGGAGATTTCTGGCCCTTTCATTCCTCCTAGGAACTATCCCTCCCTGGTTCCCCCTTTTTTTATTCTTTTTTTTCTTTTTATTTTTTTTCTTTCTTTTTTTTCTTAAAAACAAAAACAAAGAAGTAACCTAACCATGGAGTACCCGATCCATGACCCCGCTACCCCCGGGCCCCTTATTGTTACCGCACCCCGTTCTGACCTCACCTCGTCTTTTGGCCACTCTTTGGACACTCCTAAGGCCCCTGTACCTCTTGCTGGTGCTGTTTCGTCACCCACTTCAGGTGCCGGGGTTTCGACTGACTCCTTCAATTTGTCTGACCTCCGCTCTCCTTTGACTATGTTTCCGGCCTCTCCTACGGTGCGGCGAGGCGATTTTCGAATCGCCAGCCTGTCCGGACTGACTCTGGTCCCACTTCTAAATGCCAACGACAATCTCCTGATGATGTTACTTCGTTACCTTCCCATTCTACTCAGAAAAGACCGACAGGTCATGCACTCCCTCTCCACACTCAGTTGGAGGGGTTTGGGATATTGGCAGTTTGGAGGAATATGTTATGTATCTTTATACGTATATGCTTCTAAACTGTTGTATTCTGAGCACCTCTGCAAAAACAGTGATTATGTGTGAGTGAGGTGAAAGTGTTGAATGATGATGAAAGTATTTTCTTTTTGGGTCACCCTGCTTCAGTGGGAGATGGCCGACTTAACCCTTTCAGGGTTTCCGACGTACTAGTACGGCTTACGCACCAGGGTTATTGACGTACTAGAACGCTTAAATTCTAGTGCCTTCATATCTAGCGAGAGAAAGCTGGTAGGCCTACATATGAAAGAATGGGTCTATGTGGTCAGTGTGCACAGTATAAAAAAATCCTGCAGCACACAGTGCATGAGAAAAAAAAAAACTTGGACCGTGTTTTTGGATTAAAACAGCAACTTTGCACTATATTTTTGTATGGTATTTATGATTGTATTCTAGTTTTCCTGGTCTCATTTTATAGAATGGAAGACATTACAGAAATTGAGATGATTTTGATTGGTTTCACAATGAAAAGTACCTTGAAATTAAGCTCAAAGTAGCAGAAATGTTCAATTTTTACCAAAGTTCAAAAGTAAACAAATCATGCCAAGCGTCCAATACACGTCAACTGGTGAGTCTAATATTCTTTCACAAGTGCTCTGATATTATTTATACCATTTCTACACTAATGCAGTAGTCTGCATAACAGTAAATCTTTCATTTTTTGAGAATAAAAATTCAAAGTGGAAAGCAAAAGAAATGCAACAGGGGCCTTGGGACGTGACTAACAAACAGAGAACTTGTTATTTTAGTGCTAGGAATGTCTGTCTTGTTTATTCTGGACCCTATTTGGAAATTGGCATCTTCTGAAATGTGTGTGAAATTGGCAAAATTACCAAGTTCTAACCACTTTACTGGACAGTTGAAATTGGTAAATGAGTGGATTCTTGTACTCATTCGATAGAAAAAATGGAGTTCTAGCAAAATAAATATGATTTTTGTCGACTAGTACATAGGAATTGGCCGAAAATAGGGCTCAAAGTGTGCGAAATCGCCGATGCGTAAACATCATTGAGACTGCTAACTTCGCGAGAGCATAATTCCCTAAGTTTTCCATCAAATCTCATACTTTTGGTGTCATTATGATCGGCAAAAGATTCTCTATCGTTTCATAAGAAAAAATAATTTTTTGTCCAAAAAATTTTCGACCCTGAGAACGAGTTTCAGAGAGCGCCTCTCGACCCTGAAAGGGTTAAAAAAATATATATATACACCTACCATCCGACTTACGACCTGCTTGACATACGACCACTCGACTTATGACTGTGTTTTGTATGCCAAATGTCTGGGAAATAAACAACTGTTTGTGATGTACACAGTGTTTGTCCTAAACCTTACAGTATAAAACACAGTACTAACAGCATAAAAAGTAATGTAAAAAATGAAATACAAGAATAAAACAATAAAATAAAATCATTAGAAAAATGTGATGTTGATATTCAGTAGTAAGGTTCGACTTACATCCATTTTGACTTACGACCAGTTGGTCAGAACCAAGCTCGGTCGTAAGTCGGATGGTAGGTGTATGTATATACAGTGGACCCCCGGTTCGCGAAGTCACCAGTAACCGATAAATCCGGTATCCGAAGCGTTATATCGCCAAAAAACTGCCCCGGTTCCCGTAACAAAACCCGGTACGCGATACGATTCGTACGAGACGTGTCCACACGTGGCCTGAACTGCCCCATGTGTGCCAGTGTTTACAAGCCAGCCAATGTGCGCGCATCTAAGGATACATTCAGTACATTCCATATTATCCATATTATCACTGTTTCTGGTGCTTGTTTCTGCAAAATAAGTCACCATGGGCCCCAAGAAAGCTTCTAGTGCCAACCCTTCGAGACCAAGGGTGCTAATGACTATTGAAATGAAGAAAGAGATAATTGCAAAGTATGAAAGTGGAGTGCATGTGTCGGACCTGGCCAAGTTGTATAGTAAATCCCAATCAACCATCTCTACTATAGTGAGCAGGAAAATGGCAATCAAGGAAGCTGTTCTTGCAAAAGGTGCAACTGTGATTACAAAACAGCAATCACAAGTGTTAGAAAATGTTGAGAGACTGTTACTGGTGTGGATAAATGAAAAACAGATAGTTGGAGATAGCATCTCTCAAGCGATCATTTGTGAAAAGGCTATGCAGTTGCATGAGAATTTAATTAGAAAAATGCCTGCAACTAGTGGTGATGTAAGTGAATTTAAGGCCAGCAAAGGTTGGTTTGAAGGATTTAAGAATCGTAGTGGCATACATAGTGTGATTAGGCATGGTGAGGCTGCCAGTTCAGACCAGAAAGCGGCTGAAAAATATGTGCATGAATTCAAAGAGTACATAGAGGCTGAAGGATTGAAACCTGAACAAGTGTTTAATTGTGACGAAACAGGCCTGTTTTGGAAGAAATTGCCAAGCAGGACCTACATTACTCAGAAGGAAAAGGCACTCCCAGGACATAAGCCTATGAAAGACAGGCTTACTCTTCTCATGTGTGCCAATGCTAGTGGTGATTGCAAAGTGAAGCCTTTATTGGTGTATCACTCAGAAACTCCCAGAGCATTCAGGCAAAAGAATATCCTCAAGGCTCATTTGTGTGCTGTGGAGGGCAAACATTAAGGCATGGGTTACTAGGGACTTTTTCTATGACTGGTTACACCATGCATTTGCCCCCACTGTGAAAAATTGGAGAGGGATTCCCCTTCTAAAAATTAAAAACTTCGACACTCTCCCCTCCTCCCATCCCATCAATCATCACCAGATCTTCATTAAAGGTATGTGTCAATTATTCTATTGTGTTTATTTCATTTTTATTATTGCTATTGTAATTATTCTATTGCATTAAACTTAATATTTCATGTGGTAAAAGTTTTTTTTTTTCATACTTTTGGGTGTCTTGCACGGATTAATTTGATTTCCATTATTTC